TTACGGTGGCTTTCAGACAGCATACATTAATTTTTCGTCTCCCCCCTCCTCCTCTTTTCAGAACATAGATGGACTAGTCCTTCTAAATAAACTGACAAATCGCTGCGCGTGGCGCTGACGGGTTTTTTTAAAATTATAAATAAATACAAACACCGTTTGTAAATGAATAAATTAATGCGAACCGCCACTTCTTTCAAATGTTTCTAGCCGTTGGTTTTTTCACACCTGATGACGACCGTTTGTGTTATGGTCGAAACGTCGTGAGAATTTTTATTGTTTTATATATATGTTTTACTGTATTATTGTTTCCCTTCGACGTGGTGGTGACTTTACCGAAAGAGCTAAGAATATCCTCAGGGTCCCGTAGCTAGGCCCCGGGCCTTAGCCATCCGAAGGCCTCACAGCCTCGGTGTGGACTGGACTCGCCTAGCCGCTTGCCTGACGGAGTACCGAATGACTCCGATATCCTAAGGCTCCCGTAGATAGGCCCCAGGCTTCCTCAGGGTCCCGTAGCTAGGCCCGGGCCTCCTCAGGGTCCCGTAGCTAGGCCCGGGCCTTAGCTAGCGTAGGCCTCACAGCCTCGGCGTGGACTGAACTCGCCTAGCCGCTTGCCTGACGGAGTACCGAATAGCTCCGACATCCTCAGGCTCCCGTAGCTAGGCCCCGGGCCTCCTCAGGGTCCCGTAGCTAGGCCCCGGGCCTTGGCTAGCGTAGGCCTCACAGCCTCGGTGTGGACTGAACTCGCCTAGCCGCAGCCTCACGGAGTACCGAATAGCTCCGATATCCTCAGAGTCCCGTAGCTAGGCCCCGGGCCTTAGCTAGCGTAGGCCTCACAGCCTCGGCGTGGACTGAACTCGCCTAGCCGCTTGCCTGACGGAGTACCGAATAGCTCCGACATCCTCAGGGTCCCGTAGCTAGGCCCCGGCCTCCTCAGGGTCCCGTAGCTAGGCCCCGGGCCTTGGCTAGCGTAGGCCTCACAGCCTCGGTGTGGACTGGACTCGCCTAGCCACAGCATCACGGAGTAGCTAATAGCTCCGATATCCTCAGGGTCCCGTAGCTAGGCCCCGGGCCTTAGCTAGCGTAGGCCTCACAGCCTCGGCGTGGACTGAACTCGCCTAGCCGCTTGCCTGACGGAGTAGCGAATAGCTCCGACATCCTCAGGGTCCCGTAGCTAGGCCCCGGGCCTCCTCAGGGTCCCGTAGCTAGGCCCCGGGCCTTGGCTAGCGAAGGCCTCGCAGCCTCGGTGTGGACTGGACTCGCCTAGCCACAGCCTCAAGGAGTAGCTAATAGCTCCGATATCCTCAGGCTCCCGTAGCTAGGCCCCGGGCCTTAGCTAGCGTAGGCCTCACAGCCTCGGCGTGGCCTGAACTCGCCTAGCCGCTTGCCTGACGGAGTACCGAATAGCTCCGACATCCTCAGGCTCCCGTAGCTAGGCCCCGGGCCTCCTCAGGGTCCCGTAGCTAGGCCCCGGGCCTTGGCTAGCGTAGGCCTCACAGCCTCGGTGTGGACTGGACTCGCCTAGCCACAGCCTCAAGGAGTAGCTAATAGCTCCGATATCCTCAGGGTCCCGTAGCTAGGCCCCGGGCCTTAGCTAGCGTAGGCCTCACAGCCTCGGCGTGGACTGAACTCGCCTAGCCGCTTGCCTGACGGAGTACCGAATAGCTCCGACATCCTCAGGCTCCCGTAGCTAGGCCCCGGGCCTCCTCAGGGTCCCGTAGCTAGGCCCCGGGCCTTGGCTAGCGTAGGCCTCACAGCCTCGGTGTGGACTGGACTCGCCTAGCCACAGCCTCAAGGAGTAGCTAATAGCTCCGATATCCTCAGGGTCCCGTAGCTAGGCCCCGGGCCTTAGCTAGCGTAGGCCTCACAGCCTCGGCGTGGACTGAACTCGCCTAGCCGCTTGCCTGACGGAGTACCGAATAGCTCCGACATCCTCAGGCTCCCGTAGCTAGGCCCCGGGCCTCCTCAGGGTCCCGTAGCTAGGCCCCGGGCCTTGGCTAGCGTAGGCCTCACAGCCTCGGTGTGGACTGGACTCGCCTAGCCGCTTGCCTGACGTAGTAGCTAATAGCTCCGACATCCTCAGGGCCCCGTAGCTAGGCCCCGGGCCTTAGCTAGCGTAGGCCTCACAGCCTAGGCGTTGACTGAACTCGCCTAGCCGCTTGCCTGACGGAGTACCGAATAGCTCCGACATCCTCAGGATCCCGTAGCTAGGCCCGGGCCTCCTCAGGCTCCCGTAGCTAGGCCCCAGGCCTCCTCAGGGTCCCGTAGCTAGGCCCGGGCCTTGGCCATCCGAAGGCCTCACAGCCTCGGTGTGAACTGGACTCGCCTAGCCACAGCCTCACGGAGTAGCTAATAGCTCCGATATCCTCAGGGTCCCGTAGCTAGGCCCCGGGCCTTAGCTAGCGTAGGCCTCACAGCCTCGGCGTGGACTGAACTCGCCTAGCCGCTTGCCTGACGGAGTACCGAATGGCTCCGACATCCTCAGGGTCCCGTAGCAAGGCCCCGGGCCTCCTCAGGGTCCCGTAGCTAGGCCCCGGGCCTTAGCCATCCGAAGGCCTCACAGCCTCGGTGTGGACTGAACTCGCCTAGCCGCAGCCTCACGGAGTACCGAATAGCTCCGACATCCTCAGGCTCCCGTAGCTAGGCCCCGGGCCTCCTCAGAGTCCCGTAGCTAGGCCCCGGGCCTCGGCTAGCCGAAGGCCTCACAGTTTCGGTGTGGACTGGACTCGCCTAGCCGCTTGCCTGACGGAGTACCGAATAGCTCCGACATCCTCAGGCTCCCGTAGCTAGGCCCCGGCCTCCTCAGGGTCCCGTAGCTAGGCCCCGGGCCTTAGCCATCCGAAGGCCTCACAGCCTCGGCGTGGTCTGGACTCGCCTAGCCGCTTGCCTGACGGAGTACCGAATAGCTCCGACATCCTCAGGCTCCCGTAGCTAGGCCCCGGGCCTCCTCAGGCTCCCGTAGCTAGGCCCCGGGCCTTGGCTAGCGTAGGCCTCACAGCCTCGGTGTGGACTGAACTCACCAAGCCGCAGCCTCACGGAGTACCGAATGGCTCCGACATCCTCAGGATCCCGTAGCTAGGCCCGGGCCTCCTCAGGCTCCCGTAGCTAGGCCCCAGGCCTCCTCAGGGTCCCGTAGCTAGGCCCGGGCCTTGGCCATCCGAAGGCCTCACAGCCTCGGTGTGAACTGGACTCGCCTAGCCGCAGCCTCACGGAGTACCGAATAGCTCCGATATCCTCAAGAGTCCCGTAGCTAGGCCCCGGACCTTAGCTAGCGTAGGCCTCACAGCCTCGGCGTGGACTGAACTCGCCTAGCCGCTTGCCTGACGGAGTACCGAATAGCTCCGACATCCTCAGAGTCCCGTAGCTAGGCCCCGGGCCTCGGCTAGCCGAAGGCCTCACAGCGGTCGCGGGGTGGTGGTGGTGGTGGTGGCGACGTTCAGGCGACGTTCGGGGAACGTCGTTGGGAACGGTGGGTCGAGTTTGTGGGGGCATGGGTTGAGTCGGCGGAGGAGTCACTCGGCCGCAGCCGCCACCTCCACCGCCGCCGCGTCCACCACTAACACCTCCACCACTAACACCTCCACCATGTCCACCACTAACACCTCCACCACCTCCACCATGTCCACCACTAACACCATGTCCACCACTAACACCTCCACCATGTCCACCACTAACACCTCCACCACTAACACCTCCACCACTAACACCTCCACCATGTCCACCACTAACACCTCCACCACTAACACCTCCACCATGTCCACCACTAACACCTCCACCATGTCCACCACTAACACCTCCACCACTAACACCTCCACCACTAACACCTCCACCACCTCCACCATGTCCACCACTAACACCTCCACCACTAACACCTCCACCACTAACACCACCTCCACCATGTCCACCACTAACACCTCCACCACCACCACGTCCACCATGTTCACCACTAACACCTCCACCACCTCCACCACTAACACCACCACCACCATGTTCACCACTAACACCTCCACCACCACCACGTCCACCATGTTCACCACTAACACCACCACCTCCACCACTAACACCTCCACCACTAACACCACCACCTCCACCATGTCCACCACTATCACCTCCACAACTAACACCTCCACCACCTCGTCCACCACTAACACCTCCACCACCACCATGTCCACCACTAACACCTCCACAACTAACACCTCCACCACCTCGTCCACCACTAACACCTCCACCACTAACACCACCACCACCACTAACACCTCCACCACTAACACCTCCACCACTAACACCACCACTAACACCTCCACCACTAACACCTCCACCACCACTAACACCTCCACCACCACCTTCACCATCATGTCCACCACTAACACCTCCACCACCACCATGTTCACCACTAACACCACCACTAACACCTCCACCACCACGTCCACCATGTTCACCACTAACACCTCCACCACCGCCTCCACCGCCACGTCCACCACTAACACCACCACCACGTCCACCACTAACACCTCCACCACCGCCACCACGTCCACCACTAACACCTCCACAACATCTACCACTAACACCACCACCACTAACACCACCACGTCCACCACTAACACCACCACCGCTAACACGTCCACCCCCACCACTACCACCTCCACCACGTCCACCACTAACACCACCACCTCTATCACCACCTCCACCTCTTCCACCACCACCACCACCACACTCACCCCCTACCACCACCACCACACTCACCCCCTACCACCACCACCCCCTCAACCACCACCACCTCCACCACCCCCCACAATCACCACCACCACCACCACACTCACCCCCTACCACCACCACCACCCCCACCACCGCCACCAACTCCACCACCCCCACCACCACCACCACCCCCTCAACCACCACACTCACCCCCTACCACCACCACCACCACCCCCACACTCACCCCCTACCACCACCACCACCACACTCACCCCCTACCACCACCACCACCACCCATGCCTCCCCAGGGTTCTGAGTTGTCCGGCTGGTCCCTGGGTCGGTGGACCAACGATGGCATCGACATCAACCACAACTTCCCAGATCTCAACTCGGTCCTGTGGGAGTCGATGGAGCGTGAGTCCGGCGCACAGAGGGTGCCCAACCATCACATCCCGGTGCCTGAGTGGTACTACCAGCCCGAGGCACGGGTGAGTTGGCAGACCCAGGGACTCACACGGAGACTCAGAGACCCATAGACCCACACGGAGAGCCGCAGACTCACACGGAGAGCCACAGACTCACACAGAGACCCACAGACTCACACGGAGACCCACAGACCCACACAGAGAGCCGCAGACTCACACGGAGACCACAGACTCACACAGAGACCCACAGACTCACACAGAGACTCAAATAGAGACCCACAGACTCACACAGAGAGACCCACAGACTCACACAGAGAGCCACAGACTCACACAGAGAGACCCACAGACTCACACAGAGACTCACACAGAGACCCACAGACCCACACAGAGAGCCACGGACTCACACGGAGACTCAGAGACCCATAGACCCACACGGAGAGCCACAGACTCACACAGAGACCCACGGACTCACACGGAGACTCAGAGACCCATAGACCCACACGGAGAGCCACAGACTCACACGGAGAGCCACAGACTCACACAGAGACCCACGGACTCACACGGAGACTCAGAGACCCATAGACCCACACGGAGAGCCACAGACTCACACGGAGAGCCACAGACTCACACAGAGACCCATAGACCCACACGGAGACCCACAGACTCACACGGAGACCCACAGACTCACACAGAGACCCACAGACTCACACGGAGACCCACAGACTCACACGGAGACCCACAGACTCACACAGAGACCCACAGACTCACACGGAGACTCAGAGAGAGCCACACAGAGACCCACAGACTCACACGGAGACCCACAGACTCACACAGCGACCCACAGACTCACACGGAGACCCACAGACTCACACGGAGACTCAGAGAGAGCCACACAGAGACCCACACAGAGACTCAGACAGTGACCCACGGACTCACACAGAGAGACCCACAGACTCACACGGAGACCCACAGACTCACACAGAGACCCACAGACTCACACAGAGACTCAGAGACCCACAGACTCACACAGAGACCCATAGACCCACACAGAGAGCCACAGACTCACACGGAGACCCACGGACTCACACGGAGACTCAGAGACCCATAGACCCACACAGAGAGCCACAGACTCACACAGAGAGCCACAGACTCACACGGAGACCCACAGATGCACACAGAGACTCAGAGACCCACAGACTCACACAGAGACCCATAGACCCACACAGAGAGCCACAGACTCACACGGAGACCCACAGATGCACACAGAGACTCAGAGACCCACAGACTCACACAGAGACCCAGAGACCCACACAGAGAGCCACAGACTCACACGGAGACCCACAGATGCACACAGAGACTCAGAGACCCACAGACTCACACAGAGACCCATAGACCCACACAGAGAGCCACAGACTCACACGGAGACCCACGGACTCACACGGAGACTCAGAGACCCATAGACCCACACAGAGAGCCACAGACTCACACAGAGACCCACAGACTCACACAGAGACCCATATACTCACACAGAGAGCCACAGACTCACACAGAGACCCACAGACTCACACAGAGACTCAGAGACCCACAGATTCACACAGAGAGCCACAGATCCACACAGAGACTCAGACAGAGACCCACGGACTCACACAGAGAGCCACAGACTCACACAGAGAGCCACAGACTCACACAGAGAGACCCACAGACTCACACAGAGAGACCCACAGACTCACACAGAGACTCACAGACTCACACGGAGACTCAGAGACCCATAGACCCACACAGAGAGCCACATAGAGACCCACGGACTCACACAGAGACTCACACAGACTCACACAGAGACTCACACGGAGACTCAGAGACCCATATACCCACACAGAGAGCCACATAGAGACCCATAGACTCACACAGAGACCCACAGACCCAAACAGAGACCCACAGACTCACACAGAGACCCACAGACTCACACAGAGACCCACAGACCCAAACAGAGACCCACAGACTCACACAGAGACCCACAGACTCACACAGAGACCCACAGACTTACACAGAGACCCACAGACTCACACAGAGACCCACAGACTCACACAGAGACCCACAGACTTACACAGAGACCCATACAGAGACCCACAGACTCACACAGAGACCCACACAGAGACCCACAGACCCACACAGAGACCCACAGACTCACACAGAGACCCATACAGAGACCCACAGACTCACACAGAGAGCCTCAGACTCACACAGAGCCTCAGACAGAGAGCCACAGGCTCAGACAGAGACCCATACAGAGACCCACAGATTCACACAGAGACTCAGAGACCCACAGACTCACACGGAGACCCACACAGAGACCCACAGACCCACACAGAGACCCACAGATTCACACAGAGACTCAGACAGAGACCCACAGATCCACACAGAGACCCACACAGAGAGCCACAAACGCACACAGAGACCCATAGACCCACACAGAGACCCATAGACCCACACAGAGAGCCACAGACCCACACAGAGACCCATCGACTCACACACAGAGACCCACACAGAGACCCATAGACTCACACACAGAGACCCACAGACTCACACAGAGACTCACACAGAGACCCATAGACTCACACACAGAGACCCACAGAATCACACAGAGACTCACACAGAGACCCATAGACTCACACACAGAGACCCACACAGAGACCCACAGACTCACACACAGAGACCCACAGACTCACACACAGAGACCCACAGACTCACACACAGAGACCCACAGACTCACACAGAGACCCACAGACTCACACAGAGACTCACACAGAGACCCACAGACTCACACAGAGACCCACAGACTCACACAGAGACCCATACAGAGACCCACAGACTCACACAGAGAGCCTCAGACTCACACAGAGCCTCAGACAGAGAGCCACAGGCTCAGACAGAGACCCATACAGAGACCCACAGATTCACACAGAGACTCAGAGACCCACAGACTCACACGGAGACCCACACAGAGACCCACAGACCCACACAGAGACCCACAGATTCACACAGAGACTCAGAGACCCACAGACTCACACAGAGACCCACACAGAGACCCACAGACTCACACAGAGACCCACAGACTCACACAGAGACTCACACAGAGACCCACAGACTCACACAGAGACCGACAGACTCACACAGAGACTCACACAGAGACCGACAGACTCACACAGAGACCCACAGACTCACACAGAGAGCCACAGACTCACATAAGCTCCCCCAGGTAGCCTCTAGCAGGGCTTTAGAGGCAAGTGCATGGGCGAGTTTCAGTATCAGCAGCGTCTGTGAAGGCTCCAGGCACTGTGGCTGACACCACCACCACGCCCGACCGCCTTTGTCTCTCTCACCACCACCACCCCCACCACCACCACCCCCACCACCCCCACCACCACCCCCACCACCACCACCACCACCACCCCCACCACCACCCTCACCACCACCACCCTCACCACCACCACCACCTCCACCACCACCACCCTCACCACCACCACCACCACCACCCCCACTCCCACCCTCACCACCACTCCCACCCTCACCACCATCATCACTACCTTCACCACCATCACCACTACCTTCACCATCATCACCATCATCACTACCTTCACCATCACCACCACCTCCACCCCCACCACCACCATCACCACCACCCCCACCCCCACCACCACCCCCACCACCACCCCCACCACCACCCCCACCACCACCACCACCACCACCCCCACCACCACCACCCCCACCACCACCACCCCCACCACCACCCCCACCACCACCCCCACCACCACCCCCACCACCACCACCACCACCACCTCCACCACCACCACCATCACCACCCTCACCACCTCCACCACCACCACCACCACCACCTCCACCACCACCACCATCACCACCCTCACCACCTCCACCACCCTCACCACCTCCACCACCACCACCACCTCCACCACCACCACAGGTGGCGTCTGAGACCCGTGCCCTCATCTTGTGGATGGAGAAATTCGACTTCGTGCTGAGCGGCAACTTGCACGGTGGTGAACTCGTAGCCACCTTCCCCTACGACATGGCACGCTCCTTCTGGAAGGCTCGCGAGTTCTCTCCCACACCGGACGAGCAGGTGATGGGTTACTCACTCAGTCACTCACTCAGTAAGTCAGTCACTCACTCAGTCAGTCAGTCACTCACTCAGTCACTCACTCACTCATACACTCACTCACTCACTCATACACTCACTCAGTCACTCAGTCACTCAGTCAGTCACTCAGTCACTCAGTCAGTCACTCACTCACTCAGTCACTCAGTCACTCAGTCAGTCACTCAGTCACTCACTCACTCACTCAGTCACTCACTCACTCAGTCACTCAGTCAGTCACTCACTCACTCAGTCACTCAGTCAGTCACTCACTCACTCACTCATACACTCACTCAGTCACTCACTCATACACTCACTCACTCATACACTCACTCACTCAGTCAGTCACTCAGTCACTCACTCAGTCACTCAGTCAGTCACTCACTCAGTCAGTCAGTCAGTCACTCAGTCAGTCACTCACTCAGCCACTCACTCACTCAGCTACTCACTCACTCAGCCACTCACTCACCCACTCACTCACTCACACACTCAGCCACTCACTCACTCAGCCACTCACTCAGCCACTCACTCACCCACTCACTCAGCCACTCACCCACTCAGCCACTCACTCACTCAGCCACTCACTCGCACACTCAGCCACTCACTCACTCACTCAGCCACTCACTCAGCCACTCACTCACCCACTCACTCAGCCACTCACCCACTCAGCCACTCACTCAGCCACTCACTCATACACTCACTCAGCCACTCACTCACTCAGTCACTCACTCAGCCACTTACTCACCCACTCACTCAGCCACTCACCCACTCAGCCACTCACTCAGCCACTCACTCATACACTCACTCAGTCACTCAGCCACTCACTCACTCAGCCACTCACTCACTCAGCCACTCACTCAGCCACTCACTCACTCACTCAGCCAATCACTCACTCAGCCACTCACTCACTCAGCCACTCACTCACTCACTCAGCCACTCACTCAGCCACTCACTCACTCAGCCACTTAGCCACTCACTCAGCCACCCACTCAGCCACCCACTCACTGACTCAGCCACTCACTCACTCACTCAGCCACTCACTCACTCAGCCACTCACTCACTCAGCCACTCACTCACTCAGCCACTCATTCACTCAGCCACTCAATCACTCAGCCACTCACTCACTCAGCCACTCACTCACCCACTCACTCACTCTCTCAGCCACTCACTCACTCACACACTCACTCACTCAGCCACTCACTCAGCCACTCACTCACTCACACACTCAGCCACTCACTCACTCACTCAGCCACTCACTCACTCAGCCACTCACTCACTCAGCCACTCACTCGCACACTCAGCCACTCACTCACTCACTCAGCCACTCACTCAGCCACTCACTCACTCAGCCACTCACTCACTCAGCCACTCACTCAGCCACTCACTCAGCCACTCACTTACACACTCAGCCACTCACTCACTCAGCCACTCACTCACTCACTCAGCCACTCACCTACACACTCAGCCACTCACTCAGCCACTCACTTACTCACCCACTCACTCACTCACTCACCCACTCATCCACTCACTCACTCACTCACCCACCCACTCACCCACTCACCCACCCACTCACCCACAAACTAACCAACCCACTAACTCACCCACCCACTAACTCACCCTCCCCACCCACTAAAAAAATCACCCACCCACTAACTCACCCACCCACCCACTAACTCACCCACTCACTCACCCACTTACTCACCCACTAACTCACCCACTCACCCACCTACCCACCCACTCACCCACACACCCACTAACTCACCCCCCAACCCACTAACTAAATCACCCACCCACTAACTCACCCACCCACTAACTCACCCACCCACTATCTAACCCACCCACTAACTCACCCACCCACCCACTTACTCACCCACCCACGCAGTCACCCAACCACTCACCCACCCACTAACTCACCCACCCACTCACTAACTCACCCACTCACTCACCTACCCAACCACTAACTCACACACCCACCCATTCACCCACCCACTAACTCACCCACACACTCACCCATCCACCCACTAACTCACCCACTCATTCACTCACTAACTCATCCACTCACTCACCCACCCACTAACTCACCCACCCACCCACTCACCCACTCACCCACCCACTCACTCACCCACCCACTCACCCACCCACGCACTCACCCACCCACCCACTAACCCACCCACCCACTAACCCACCCACTCACCCACTCACCCACTCACCCACTCACTCACCCACCCACCCACTCACCCACTCACCCACCCACTCACTCACCCACTCACTCACCTACCCACTCACTCACTCACTAACTCACCGACTCACTCACCCACCCACGCACTCACTCACCCACCCACCCACTAACCCACCCACCTACTAACCCACCCACTCACCCACTCACTCACCCACCCACCCACCCACTCACTCACTCACCTACCCACTCACTCACCCACTAACCCACCTACCCACCCACCCACGCACTCACTCACCCACCCACTAACCCACCCACCCACTAACCCACCCACCAGGTGTTCCGCTGGTTGGCATTCGCGTTTGCCTCCACCCACCGCACGATGGCGGTGTCGGGGCGCCGAGTTTGTCACTCAGACGACTTCACCAAGGAGGGAAGCGTCGTGAACGGAGCAGCCTGGCACACCGTGGCCGGCAGTGAGTCACTCACTAAGTCACTCACTCAGTCACTCACTCAGTCACTCACTCAGTCACTCACTCAGTCACTCACACACTCACTCACTCAGTCACTCACTCAGTCACTCACTCAGTCACTCACTCAGTCACTCAGTCACTCACTCAGTCACTAAGTCACTCACTCAGTCACTCAGTCACTCACTCAGTCACTCACTCAGTCACTCACTCAGTCACTCAGTCACTCACTCAGTCACTCACTCAGTCACTCACTCAGACGACTTCACCAAGGAGGGAAGCGTCGTGAACGGAGCAGCCTGGCACACCGTGGCCGGCAGTGAGTCACTCACTCAGTCACTCACTCAGTCACTCACTCAGTCACTCACTCAGTCACTCACTCACTCACTCAGTCACTCACTCAGTCACTCACTCAGTCACTCACTGAGTCAGTCATTCACTCTGTCACTCACTCAGTCACTCACTCAGACGACTTCACCAAGGAGGGAAGCGTCGTGAACGGAGCAGCCTGGCACACCGTGGCCGGCAGTGAGTCACTCACTAAGTCACTCACTCAGTCACTCACTCAGTCACTCACTCAGTCACTCACTCAGTCACTCAGTCACTCAGTCACTCACTCAGTCAGTCACTCAGTCACTCACTCAGTCACTCACTCAGTCACTCACTCAGTCACTCACTCAGTCACTCACTTAGTCACTCAGTCACTCAGTCACTCAGTCACTCAGTCACTCACTCAGTCACTCACTCACTCAGTCACTCAGTCACTCACTCAGTCACTCACTCAATAAGTCACTCACTCAGTCACTCACTCAGTCACTCACTCAGACGACTTCACCAAGGAGGGAAGCGTCGTGAACGGAGCAGCCTGGCACACCGTGGCCGGCAGTGAGTCACTCACTCAGTCACTCACTCAGTCACTCACTCAGTCACTCACTCAGTCACTCAGTCAGTCACTCAGTCACTCAGTCACTCACTCAGTCACTCACTCAGTCACTCACTCAGTCACTCACTCAGTCACTCACTCAGTCACTCAGTCAGTCACTCACTCAGTCACTCACTCAGACGACTTCACCAAGGAGGGAAGCGTCGTGAACGGAGCAGCCTGGCACACCGTGGCTGGCAGTGAGTCACTCACTAAGTCACTCAGTCACTCACTCAGTCACTCACTCAGTCACTCACTCACTCAGTCACTCACTCAGTAAGTCACTCACTCAGTCACTCACTCAATAAGTCACTCAGTCACTCACTCACTCTGTCACTAAGTCACTCACTCAGTCACTCACTCAGTCAGTCACTCACTAAGTCACTCAGTCACTCACTCACTCAGTCACTCACTAAGTCACTCACTAAGTCACTCACTCAGTCACTCACTAAGTCACTCACTCAGTCACTCACTAAGTCACTCACTCAGTCACTCACTCATACACTCACTCAGTCAGTCAGTCACTCACTCAGTCACTCAGTCACTCACTAAGTCACTCAGTCAGTCACTCACTCAGTCACTCAGTCAGTCAGTCACTCACTCAGTCAGTCACTCACTCAGTCACTCACTCAGTCACTCAGTCAGTCACTCACTAAGTCACTCACTCAGTCACTCAGTCAGTCACTCACTAAGTCACTCACTCAGTCACTCAGTCAGTCAGTCACTCAGTCAGTCACTCACTCAGTCACTCAGTCAGTCAGTCACTCACTCAGTCAGTCACTCACTCAGTCACTCACTCAGTCACTCAGTCAGTCACTCACTAAGTCACTCACTCAGTCACTCAGTCAGTCAGTCACTCACTCAGTCACTCACTCAGTCACTCACTCAGTCAGTCACTCACTCAGTCACTCACTCAGTCACTCAGTCAGTCACTCACTCAGTCACTCACTCAGTCACTCACTCAGTCACTCACTCAGTCACTCACTCAGTCACTCACTCAGTCACTCACTCAGACGACTTCACCAAGGAGGGAAGCGTCGTGAACGGAGCAGCCTGGCACACCGTGGCCGGCAGTGAGTCACTCACTAAGTCACTCAGTCACTCACTCACTCAGTCACTCACTCAGTCACTCAGTCATTCACTCAGTCACTCACTCACTCACTCAGTCACTCACTCAGTCACTCAGTCACTCAGTCACTCACTCACTCAGTCACTCACTCAGTCACTCACTCAGTCACTCACTCAGACGACTTCACCAAGGAGGGAAGCGTCGTGAACGGAGCAGCCTGGCACACCGTGGCCGGCAGTGAGTCACTCACTCAGTCACTCACTCAGTCACTCACTCAGTCACTCACTCAGTCACTCAGTCACTCACTCAGTCATACACTCAGTCACTCAGTCAGTCACTCACTCAGTCACTCACTCAGTCACTCACTCAGTCACTCAGTGAGTCACTCACTCAGTCACTCACTCAATAAGTCACTCACTCACTCACTCAGCCACTCACACACTCAGTCACTCAGTCACTCACTCACTCAGTCACTCACTCACTCACTCAGTCACTCACTCAGTCACTCACTCACTCAGTCACTCACTCAGTCACTCAGTCACTCACTCAGTCACTCACTCAGTCACTCAGTCAGTCACTCACTCAGTCACTCACTCAGACGACTTCACCAAGGAGGGAAGCGTCGTGAACGGAGCAGCCTGGCACACCGTGGCCGGCAGTGAGTCACTCACTCAGTCACTCACTCAGTCACTCACTCAGTCACTCACTCAGTCACTCACTAAGTCACTCACTCAGTCACTCACTCACACACTCACTCACTCAGTCACTCACTCACTCAGTCACTCACTCAGTCACTCAGTCACTCACTCACTCAGTCACTCACTCACTAAGTCACTCAGTCACTCACTCAGTCACTCAGTCACTCACTCACTCAGTCACTCACTCAGTCACTCAGTCACTCACTCACTCAGTCACTCAGTCACTCACTCAGTCACTCAGTCACTCACTCACTCAGTCACTAAGTCACTCAGTCACTCACTCAGTCACTCACTAAGTCACTCAGTCACTCACTCAGTCACTCACTCAGTCACTCAGTCAGTCACTCACTCAGTCACTCAGTTACTCACTCAGTCACTCAATAAGTCACTCACTCAGTCACTAAGTCACTCACTCATTCACTCACTCAGTCACTCACTCAGTCACTCACTCACTCAGTCACTCACTCAGTCACTCAGTCACTCACTCACTCAGTCACTCACTCACTAAGTCACTCAGTCACTCACTCAGTCACTCAGTCACTCACTCACTCAGTCACTCACTCAGTCACTCAGTCACTCACTCACTCAGTCACTCAGTCACTCACTCAGTCACTCAGTCACTCACTCACTCAGTCACTAAGTCACTCACTCAGTCACTCACTCAGACGACTTCACCAAGGAGGGAAGCATCGTGAACGGAGCAGCCTGGCACACCGTGGCTGGCAGTGAGTCACTCACTAAGTCACTCACTAAGTCACTCACTCAATAAGTCACTCACTCAGTCACTCACTCAGTCAGTAAGTCAGTCACTCACTCAGTCACTCAGTCACTCAGTCACTCACTCAGTCACTCACTAAGTCACTCAGTCACTCACTCAGTCACTCACTAAGTCACTCAGTCACTCACTCAGTCACTCACTCAGTCACTCAGTCAGTCACTCACTCAGTCACTCAGTTACTCACTCAGTCACTCAATAAGTCACTCACTCAGTCACTAAGTCACTCACTCAGTCACTCACTCAGTCACTCACTCAGTCACTCAGTCAGTCACTCACTCAGTCACTCAGTTACTCATTCAGTCACTCAATAAGTCACTCACTCAGTCACTCAGTCACTCACTCAGTCACTCAGTCACTCACTCACTCAGTCACTAAGTCACTCACTCAGTCACTCACTCAGACGACTTCACCAAGGAGGGAAGCGTCGTGAACGGAGCAGCCTGGCACACCGTGGCCGGCAGTGAGTCACTCACTAAGTCACTCACTCAGTCACTCACTCAGTCACTCACTCAGTCGCTCACTCAGTCAGTCATACACTCAGTCACTCACTCAGTCACTCATACACACACTCAGTCACTCAGTCACTCACTCAGTCAGTCAGTCACTCACTCAGTCACTCACTCAATAAGTCACTCACTCACTCATACACTCACTCAGTCACTCAGTCACTCACTCAGTCAGTCAGTCACTCACTAAGTCACTCACTCAGTCACTCAGTCACTCACTCAGTCAATCAGTCACTCACTCAGTCACTCACTCAGACGACTTCACCAAGGAGGGAAGCGTCGTGAACGGAGCAGCCTGGCACACCGTGGCTGGCAGTGAGTCACTCACTAAGTCACTCAGTCACTCACTCAGTCACTCACTCAGTCACTCACTCACTCAGTCACTCACTCAGTAAGTCACTCACTCAGTCACTCACTCAATAAGTCACTCAGTCACTCACTCACTCTGTCACTAAGTCACTCACTCAGTCACTCACTCAGTCAGTCACTCACTAAGTCACTCAGTCACTCACTCACTCAGTCACTCACTAAGTCACTCACTAAGTCACTCACTCAGTCACTCACTAAGTCACTCACTCAGTCACTCACTAAGTCACTCACTCAGTCACTCACTCATACACTCACTCAGTCAGTCAGTCACTCACTCAGTCACTCAGTCACTCACTAAGTCACTCAGTCAGTCACTCACTCAGTCACTCAGTCAGTCAGTCACTCACTCAGTCAGTCACTCACTCAGTCACTCACTCAGTCACTCAGTCAGTCACTCACTAAGTCACTCACTCAGTCACTCAGTCAGTCACTCACTAAGTCACTCACTCAGTCACTCAGTCAGTCAGTCACTCAGTCAGTCACTCACTCAGTCACTCAGTCAGTCAGTCACTCACTCAGTCAGTCACTCACTCAGTCACTCACTCAGTCACTCAGTCAGTCACTCACTAAGTCACTCACTCAGTCACTCAGTCAGTCAGTCACTCACTCAGTCACTCACTCAGTCACTCACTCAGTCAGTCACTCACTCAGTCACTCACTCAGT